CATGGATCTGGTTGAGTTTATCGAACCTTAAAATATTTTTTTGAGTGTCAAAACATCCTACCAGATGAAATGTGAAACTAGCCGTCGGGAAGTTAAAAAAGAGTATTATTTTGGTGACAAAATTTGAAGTAGCAACGCTAGTGTGAGGGAAAAGACAAAATCATTATTTGGTCCGAGATAAAATGGGAGATACATACCCAATACCTATCAATTCACTACAGAGCAGATGTTAAAACCTCAGTTTCAAAAGTGGAGAGAAAATATTACCGCGTGACCATCACATCTTAACGGCAAAGTTTAATCTTAGGATCTTACAAAGAGAGTACGCCCAGGGACTAGTTCCGAGTGAAAAATAGGTAGGACCAACATTCTCAAATTTGTCATCATAAGAAAGTGTTTTAAGTGTCACGAATTTAGGCATATTGAACCAAATTGCACAACTAGAACAATCATTTAATTGAATAAGGAGCAGTTGAAGAAATAAACAATGTAAACATGGCGAGTGATGAATCCAAAGAAGAGCATCATATGTAAACCAACAAGGAAGAGAAGCCATTGATTCCAGTTGAACCCAGAAGGGAGATTCAAACTGAGTTGACAGAAATTGTTGTAGAAGGTAATGAGTTTGATATAATGGTCATTCATGTAGAGTATGAGATTATGGTGCCTCAAACTATGTTTTCGTAGGCACTCGGAGGAGCATCAACAAGATTGACACTGGATATCTAAAAGGATCATAAGTTTGAGGAGCTGATACTAGACACAAAACAACTTCAAAAAAGAAGATTGCAAAATTTTTAGATATATAGCATGCCTCCTGAGTTTCTCCTGTTGAGGGAGATCCAACTCAAAGATGAGAAGATTTTGAGTCACTTCTAAAAGATTATATGGAGTTGTTCGAATAGCAGATTCAATTCAACAGTGTACCCACCAACAGATGACAAGACAGGAGGGATGAACCACCTTTTTAGAAATTATCTTAGAGGCTTGGTAGGGAAGAAAATTCTTTAATTAGATTTAAGTGCTACCAGAGAAGAAGTGTCTTCTGAGTGGTTGTTAGTGGGAGTATTCAAGTCTATCATAGATTTCAGTCCAAAGTTAGTTCCTCTGAACGAATTTAATTATCAGATGTGCATTGCTGAGTGTTAGTGAGAGACAAATTATATATTTAATGGCTCGATAGTTACTTTAAAGTCTATGCTGATATGCAACTTCAGCTCAGGTTGTGCCAAAAGAGAATGAATATTTATTCTATCAGGATGTGCTTTGGAATGATAATACTTGTAGGACTGACTTACCAGTATCTTTAGTGGCTTGACATGACACGATACTACAAGGAGGAAAAAGCTTTAATGGATGAGGTCGAAGTTCTACCAATCCTGAGAGACAAACTCAAAGTGGGCACGTAAAACCTGCAATCAAGGCCTTAACGTAGGAGGGAATTGAAAATCCCGCAATCGATGCATGATGCAGAAATCCCAACGACGAAAGCGAATCCCGCATGGCGCAAGTCACGAAAGCGAAATTGCGTCTCCCACACAATCGTTTTCGCACGACCCATTCTTTCACCTAGACCGAACTTCTCCATGTTTTCTCCCTTCCGAGGAGTTGGTCGGTATTCTTGGGCCACTCCTAGTTATCCTCTTATCATATATTTGCATTCTTGATGTTCTAGATTTAGTTTTTCGTATGAGCTTGTTTATGACAGTTGTACGCGTCCGTTTCTCCCATTTGAGGGTTGTATCCTTGAGATTGGGTGACACTCCAGCTGTATCTCTCTTCCGAGGTAGTGATTATCTTCTCCTATCCCCTTCCACATCCTCCCACATCACTCTTGACTGCCCTTTCCTTGCTGTAGCAACCTGAAACAACCAATATTGGTTGGTTTCTGTAGTTTTTGCTTTCCCCATCTGTTTTCCTTGCCCCTTGGTTGTTGTTCTAACCGATCATATCTAGTTTTCTTGCCGCCTTGTTGTTGTTCCGGCAATGCAAAACACCTTCTACAGCCTTGCTTGTTGTTATAGTCCTCTATATCCACTGACATCACTGTTCCAACCCTCCATCTTCGACACCATTGTTGTTCTAGTCCTCCCCCTTTACTGTTATTATCTTGGACAGTTGTGCGGAGTTGATATATGCTACATACTTGTTGTCTGAAACTCAAAAAAATGTTGTCTTGTTATTTTCTACTTGCCAACCACCTCGTCCACCATGGCGCCACCTTCCACCCCTCACCGGTCATCATCAACAACCCAAGAACCACCCTAATTTGAGTTGGATTGTTGACTCTATTGTATTTTCCTTTCAATTGTGTCAATTATAATCGTCTATAAACTTTATTAGTAAGAATATTTGTTTGTTTATTATTTTTGTTTATAATTATTTGGTAACTCCAATATCACTTTCTTTAAGCATGTATACGACTTGATGCATTTGAACATTGTCAATCAACTTTCCCGAAAAGTTTGCAAGAAATTTTATTATACATTTCATATCATGAGTAAGCTCACTAATTGAAACTAAAGTACAACCTAATTGTGAAACATATAAAACAAAGGAAATAGTAATATCCTGAGAGCTCTACGACTCCTTTCCCAACAATGGTTGAGTGTGATCCTTCTACAAGTCTTACCGATCTAGATGTAACAGCCTCTTTATCGTTGACCATGCATTGATGTCTCCAGTCATATGATCAGAGACTCCTAAATCTATGATCCAAGTTCTAAATCTCCCATTGCCGGCAAGATGTGAAAATAATATATTACCTTGGTGTTGGGGTGATGCGCTGAATTATTTCCAAGGAGTTTCTTCAATATTCAAGCTAATCCTTGGTGAATGGTTTCATTGATTCTTCAAATGTCATAGCAAAATTTGACTTTTTCTCTTGATCTTTCATTCTCTGTCCAATTTTCTACTCTGCAGGCTTTCCATGAAGTTTTCAAAATTTATTTTAGTATGCTCGATCTTCTTGCAATGGTCACATACGAGACGATGCTTTTTTGAGCTTTGAGTCATGGGAAAATTTATGGGTGTATAGGGTCGAGCTTTCAGTAATTGGTGAATTTCCATTTCCAGTCAGCATCAGCTTCTTCCTAATCTCCTCTCTCGATGATGGATTTGAACATCACGACACTATGTGGACATTTCCACACGTGTCACAAACATATCCAATTATAGCCAATACTTTATTAGGGTATTGAAGTGTTGGGACTCATGTGGAACGATTCTTTTTGAGCTTTGAGTCATGAGAAAAATTATGGGTGTACAGCGTCGAGCTTTCAGTACTTGGTGAAACCTCATTTCCAGTCGGCATCAGCTTCATCCTGCTCTCTTCTCTCCCGACTTCAGCAAAGGTTTCATGGGTAGATAGAAGAGGCTTTGTTTTCATGATTCTTTCTCTCACATCATCCCATTCTTGCTTTAATCTTATTAGGAATTAGATGGTTCTCTTCTTCTCGATGATGAATCTAAACATCGTGGCACCATGTGAATATTTCCACACATCTCAAACATATCCGATTATATTAGGTGACACTTAGCTCTGCTTGATAAAAGTCATGAAGCTTGATTTTGATCTCAAAATTATGCATTGTTCTCAGGGTTGGAATACGTTTCTGTTACAGTCTGCTGGACTTCCTTAGCAGTTTTGTTGGGCAAAAAATTTTCTCACAATTTAGTGGTCATCGAGTTGACTCGTCAGGAAATAACCATATAGTCTTGATTCTTCCAAGTGTAATGGTTGGGGTCAGTGATCTCAGGAATTGTACTCTCTCCTATGAGACGATCCACTTTCCTTTATAACAAATGTACATAAACACAGATTAGACGACTGAGGAAGTTCTAATAATTGAGTTTATGATTTATAATAAAGTTAGAGAGTTCAGGAGTTGTCTAGGCAGAATTTTTGGTCTTTGATTCAGAATTAACCTCTGGAGTAGAACTTGAGATCTTTATCCCGTAATTGGTCATTAACTTTAAGCGTATTTAGGGTTTTTCTGCTTGTTGTTGTTGCTTTTGTTGCCACTGTATCTGCTTGTCATTACTTCTGTTTCCACTGCGTCTGCTGAAGGAAAGTTCTGTCGGAGGAGGGCCTGCAACAAGGAGATTTCAGGCTGCATGGATAATTCCGAAGGAGCCTGCAACAGGGACAATTCCAGTTGTAGGTATAATCCAGTGACAGAGGGGCCTGCAACAGGGAAAATTTCTGTTGCAGGGAAGAGAGAGAAAGGAGGTCCGACTCTGGCAGTGGAGAAATATGGTCGAGGAAGTTATGACTACCAGCATGTAAGAGTTTCAAGCTCTGACATAGGAGTTTTCGGCTTTAGAAGGGGGTGTGGCTATGCAAAGGAGGTATGGTGGCTGGAGTAAGGTCTAATGCTCTGATACCATGTAGAAATTACTTAGCTAGACAAATTGTTTCATTACAATATTCAAATGACAGATAAAAATATATAGGAAAACCAATCCCACTAATTTACAAACTTACCAAATATATCTAACCAATATTTGTAAGGAAAATATTCTAAAATAAAAATAACAAAAAACAAGAATAGAAAGAAAATAAAGCTAACTAAGAAGTTTTTAAAAATATCTCCAAATTCAATCTTTAGAGATTTGATGAATGGCCGTTCGACCCATCAAGGAATCCTTCCAAAATTTCCACAATATATTATCAAAAGAAATTGATGTCATGAGGAACTTAGGACACAAGAACATAATTAAGTTAAAATCAGCTACAATAACCAGTGATATGACATTCATTATAGGGCAACTCCCAACAAAACATGTTGAGCTGATTTTAAAGTACTACATTTCAAACATCGTGATTTGTGAAAATAAAATCACAACCAAATATTTTAAAAATAACTTTCAATCAATTGGGAGAACTAATTCATGATAGGAGTATTCCCAAGAATTGTATGTTCAACTGGTATTAAGACTTTGGCATTTGAAAAGCATTATTATAATTCTTCATAGATTTTAACTTGCATCCAACCAAATGAGCACAAAAAGAAAATCAGAGAGAGACTTTCTTCTCAATCATGGAGCTGCAATATTATTATTCATTTTCCAACAGAGTCCTACTCCCATGCTTTGAAATAATTACATTACATACCTGAACGAATTGCACAGACCAACTGCATGCAAAGCTGAAAGCCATATGTCAAAGCTTTCAACCTAAATAACAGTGCAATGTTTCGGAAACACTTTCTTCTCTTATGTCAAAAATCTAACTTAACTCCATAAGCTACCAATGTTTCAGAAACATTTACACCTCTGAAATCTTTCGTGTGAAAGTCTATCACTAGAGATGTTGAGAGACATCAAACATCTCGCCTTCTCCTTCTCCAGATGGCCTCACAACAAAAATCCGCACCTCAACAGCTTCATAACATAAACCCATCTTTTTTTTCATGGAAATCGAAGAAAGGAAACTTCAGGAATACTTCAATTCTCAAACCTGAAGCACTTGACAGTGAACAATATGACTCTTCAGCCCATTCCGACCAGCAATGCTCGACCACAGATTTGACACAAAAGATTTCAGCTGGCCTTTACCAGAAATGGCTTCCCACAGCTGAGCACTGTTAGTTTCAATGATCCTCCCGGGGGTTGACACATCAACAAGGCTGATACTCATGTTGTTCCTCACAACAGCAAGCTTGCCATTCAGAGAGACAAATGCCGCCGCTTTCAAAGTGACGGAACTACCGAGATGAAGCTTGCTGTCCATAAACCTGCTCCATGTATCTGTAGCATCATCATAAACACGAAGCTTGCATCCATCACTACAATCTGACGAATAAAGCCTCCCATTCAGTGATATGCTTGGATTGCGCCAGCCACTCATCATGCCATCGTTCGCTGCAGACCAGTTGTTGGTAGAGGGCGAATATGCTTCACTTACAACTTGGCGGTGAGAATCCAGCCCTTTCAAAAACCATTTCCCCTCGTAAACAACTCCGATGAGAGGTACCATTCCATCGGTCATTTCGCCAATGAAAGTCCACCTGTTCTTGTTCGGGTCAAAAACCTCAGCCGAACGAAGCGTTCTATGGATCCCTTCGCATTCACCGCCAGCAACATAAAGGCAATTGTTTATGACGCTCGATCCGGAAAAATGGCGCTTACGTAGCATATCAGGAGCTCGATGCCATTTGTTCGTCCGAGCATTGTAAAAAACAACTCGTCTCATAGAGCCTCGAAGCGGATCCTTGCCTCCAAATAAGTAGAGGTAGCAACCACTAAGAACAGCACAACCAAAACCGAGTGCCTCGGAATACTCCGTGGGAACAGGAGGAAGTGGCTGCCAAAGCTGATAGATTGGATCGAAAGCATGCCAAGATATTTTCCCGTCACGATCTCTTTTGATGACATAAACCCACTCTTCAGCCATACCCAACCTTTTCCTAAGGGAATAAAAGTAGTTTCCCGTTAGAAGGCGGTTCCATCTTTTACATACTAAACGAAGGTTTTGGTGTTCAACTCGAGGTACACGTATAAGGCAAGCAATAGCGAGGTCGTCAGGAAGGTTGGGTAGAAGAGGTGCTTGTGTTCTGGTTCTCTCTCGGCGCGGATTTCTAGGCTTGGGTCCACTTGGCTGGATGTCGGGTTGGATGCATATTTTTGCTCCTGGAACAAACTTCCTAGCTCCTACCACTGTTTTCAGACCATTATCGACTCTACAATAGCATGAAACTGAATCCACCTGCAATAATTTCAGTATTAAACACGCATATTTATGATAGCAAAACTAAAAACTTTAAATGATCTATAAATTCTTCTTATGCAAGCAAAATTATGATATATTATAAGGAAAATTAACTACAGATGTCATCGAATTACCTTGGAAAATGCTCCTATTTTTGCCATTTCATTCATTAAATGATAAAATTTGCTCATCAGTATTACAAAGACTAATTATGAGCCAATATGAAGAACAAGGAAGAATATTTGAGAGTTAAATTGACCTGCTTTACGGCTAATTGGGCATCCATGACCCTGAGAGATGCATAACATCAAAGAAGACGGCATTCATTGGCATTATACAGAAAAAAATAATTAATGAAATTTAACCTTCATCAAGAATAGAACCAAGATCAGATTGATGATAATTATTAATCCCTTAAATCATAGTTAATTAGTCAAAATAATGCAAGCTTTAAAAGGAGAATTTACATGCATACCACATAATTTTTATGTATTTACACCTCTAACACCTAAACTTTAATGTTCACTTATATAACATTCAAATTTTTAACATCACATAAAAATACTACTAATCCTATTTTTTCTACTGCAAAACACACCTCTTCATGCATATGTTTTGATGTGAGTATGATACTAGAATATTATAAAAGTAAATATCAAAGTTTTAATGTTTGAAATGTAATATATAAGAATCATGTGATATATATGCAAATTCTCCGTTAAAAATATAGAAAGAATGTAAGATTGTATGAATTCAGAAATATAATGAGACGGCTAACCATTTGTTTAACCTCGTGCACGTCCTTCGCAGTAAAATAACTTCAGCCATAAGATTTTCGACTAAGATAACACACTTCCTATTCAAATATTGTTAATACTGTAAAAAGAGTGCAATGATCTTTCCTTCTTTGTGAAGTTAGAAATCATCTATTATGCAATGAATGACTTCTAAATATTCAAATATTTCATTCTGTAAAAAGCGTGCAATGATCTTTGCTGCAGCCATAAGTTTAGCTAATAAGTTTAGCTAGCATTCGTTAATAGTGTAAGAAGAATGCAATGATCTTTCCGAAGTTTTTTTTTTTTATAAATATTCTTGATTCAAAAATAAGATTTTTGACTCAGACATGAGATGTCCTATTCAAATACAAATAGTTTAGTAGCACATGAGGTCTTTAATTCAAATACATAGGTTTATTAGATATAAAATCTTTAACATAGATATAATATATGACTTATCACTCAAATTTAATGTATTCCATCAAAATGTAAGATTTCATTGACCTAGCATAATGTTTAAAGATAAGATCTTTTCTCAAATATAATATGTTTACCCAGACATAAGATATTTGAATCAGATTTGTTAATTCTTGAAGATAACTAATTTTTTAGCATGCTTTTATAGCACTAATTGTATTGGATTTCATCACATTTAAGAAAGCTGATTTGGCTTTGGCTTTTTTTTTTGTAAGTGTAGACTTATTTGAGGAGCATAGCATAATTCTACCAGAACAATATCTTCAGCATAAATACAGAAACTTATAACTGTTTTTCTAAACAGATATCAGCCACAGCAGCCCCCAACTAGAAGAAGAAGAAGAAGAAGAACAGCAGAAGTATCGCAATGCAACGTTTATTTCCACCAGAATCATTTTTCAACAAATCCTAAAACAGCTGCGATTATCACAACTTAGATCTCCGCAACAAGCACCAAACTAAAAACAATAGATCAATTTAACCCTAAAATAGAAAGAACCCCTCACTCCTCACAAAATCCACTTCTCATAAGCACTTCAATCGCTGCTCTCGCAATTTAGGGCATGCTCTTTACCGAATCAAGACAACAAAACCATTCGCTCAAAATTCTCTAAGCCAAAAAAAAAAAGGAAATAGAGTAAGAACTTGCCAGTGGAGCTTGGATTCGAGTCCTTCGTTGGGTAACAATCTGCGCTGCTTCTGCTGAA